GGGAAAGGGGGGGGATGGAGGAATCCAACAGCAAGAGAGAAATAACAATACACTAATACACAGAATTATAATTGAAATACATTAAACTGCCCTAAATACTATCCCATTTCAAGAAAAAAAATGCTTTAATTTTGGATTGAAGTCCATTTAATAGAAATCGCTCCACTCCCCTACGAGCCATCTGCAGAACAGTGAGTAGCACTAATGTTTTATCTGATGGAAACCTACAAAGTCCTGTCAGTTTGAGCATGTATCTTTTTGTTACGAAGTTTGTGGCAAGTTAGATGGCTACTTAATATATACATGTTTAACGTGTTTGTGCATGCGTATCTAGTCTTCTCAAGAACACATTGCGTCAACCATTTTACGACTGACCTCGGTGGCGTTTTAATGTTCGTGTGGCACTTGTAAAGCACTCGTGTAACCTGAAGGATATTTGAATGTTTGACTGCAGTAAACCCAGAATCGCGGTCACCTGCTTGAAAGACAACTAAAAGCATTTTCAGTCTTAATATGTTATGTTTCAACTTAACATTTTAAACTTCATCCTGACTTTTCTCTTTATATTAACTACTGTTTGGAATCTAAACACAAAAATGAGTCGGATCTCGCTTAAAACTTAACCTAACTGTAAAAAAAACAAACCGAAACTGGCGTAATATTTAAATCGGTAATTGTGTATCTAAATTTTTATTTCGCTTCGTGAAAATTGCATATAAACAGCAGTATTAAAACGTTGTGCATATGATTGTGGCTCTTGTCCCTTTACCCCACTTTGACTTGATTGTTTGACACTGCAAAGTGAGTATGAATCTTCGATCCTTTTAATTGACTGACAGAGCTCTCCCATTATAAAAAGGTCAGGAAGCCGTTACTTTTGGAACATAAACTAACATTTTGTTTTTGGTGCTTCAGAGATTTGTATGGATATGGAGAAGGCCAGGAGCCAAGACATGACCGTTCCCGCTCCCCACTGCGCTCTAGCCCAAGGCGTGTTAGTAGAGAACCACGTGAACGAGATTTAAGAGCAGTTCGAGATGGACGTGAACCAAGAGACATTCGAGATCCCAGAGACCTGAGAGATTCCAGAGATCGTGACAATCGAGATTTGAGAGATGGCCGTGAAAGGGATTTCCGTGATGCTCGCGATGCAAGAGATCTGAGGGATGCTAGAGACAGGGATATCAGAGACCCTCGAGATGCTGAAGACATAAGAGGTCCTCGTGATAGAGACATGCGAGAACTTCGAGATAGAGAAATCAGAGATCGAGACACCAGAGATCCTCGAGATTCCAGGGAATACAGGGACCCTCGAGACGTAAGGGATGCTAGAGATCTTCAGGTGCGTGATACCCGTGATGCAAGGGATGCGAGAGACCCATTGTTTGAAAGATACAGGGAGGCGCGAGACCCAAGGGATCCGTTATACAGGTTTGAACTTTTTGTTTTAAAGATTTAAAACCCAAAAAATGTCTGACTTGCATGTCATTTGTATAAATGCAGTTTTTTGTTTTCCTGAGATTTATACACTTTGGTTGCTTACAGCATTTTGAGTTGAAACTGAAAAAAAAGAAAAAATATAAACTACAACAACAAATACAGGGTTATTCACAAAAGGGTGAAGAGTTTGGAGAAGGCAGGAGAAGTGAACAATCTAGGACAACATAGCTGAACTGGAAAGTGAGCTGAATTGGAGAATTTTACCAAATCAACTATTTTGTCCTAGATTGTTAGTTTCTCCAAATTCTTCACCCTTTTGAGAAACCGTATTGATTAGTGGCAGGTATTGAAGGTAGCCCTGCTTTCTGAGGAAAATAGTTTAATTATAAGGAAGGAATTTAAGGACATTCTCTGCAAGAACTGCTGCCATTCTTTGCCTAATCCTCCCCCTCTCCTGCTATTGGCCAGCTTTTTTTGCTAAATGCAACTGTCAATCCAATGAGAAGGCAGACTTGTTCTTTGCAGTCATGTGCTCTGCCGCTTATACAAATGTAGGAGTTATGGAAAGCCTCAGCAATGCAGCTACCAGAGATCGAACCAGGAGTCTTAGGGAGGCATTATTTTTTTAACTTCCAATTTCAGCCATTGCATGAGAAAATAAACTTTTTAGTTATTTTTCAAATACTATATTGGTTCATGTTTTTGCATAGAGAGATTATAGCAATCAAGAGATGAGCATCTCTCTAAAACTTACATTTTAGAATATGGATGTGTGCATATACCGACATGGACAAATTTGGTGGTACGCTTCCATGACCACTCAATAGAACACACAATTTTCTTTCAAATAATTTGAACCTGACAAAAGTAATTGACATCCATCATTGTTCCATAATTATTAAAATCAGGCTTTGCTTTCGATTTTTGATCTGAATGTTTTAAATAAAACTTAACACCTAAGTATACAAATAAAACTAATATAGCTTGGACAGAAAAGATGGGACTCAACCTAATATTTTCTTGTACAACCTTTTTAGAGGCAATTGCTGCAAACAAGCAATTTCTGTAGCACTCGGCGAGACTTCTGCAACTGCCGGCAGGTATTTTCGCTCATTCTTAAGCAAACTGCTCCCAGCTGTCTCAGGTTTAAATGGAGCTTCTCCAGATGGCATGGTTCAGCTCTTTCCATACATGTTTAATGGGATTCTGATCAGGACTCATAGAAGGTCACTTCAGAGTAATCCAATATTTTATTCCTAGCCATTTGTGGCTGCTTTTGGGATCATTGTCCTGTTGTAGAACCCATGACCTGCGAGTGATACAGCTTTCTGACACTGGGCAGTATGATTTGCTCTAGAATTACTTGATAGTCTTGGGTTTCATTGCGCCCTGCACAGGTTGAAGGCACCCTGTGCCATGTGCAGCAAAGCTGCCCTAAAACATAACCCCAGCCACCTCCTATGTTTCACAGTAGGCACAGTTATTTATTTATTTTTTTTAAATCTGTTAACATAGAGCTGATGTGGATTGCCAAAATTGCAGCTTTGTCTCAATTGTCCAAAGGACATTCTCCGTGAAGTACTGTAGCGTGTCCAATGTGCAGCAAAGCACATTGACTTGGAAAAAAAACAGAAAAATATGGGATTTTTTAAAATATGTGGAGTCTTTATTCAATTATGGATGGTGTGATCAGTCACTGATGTACCTTGGAGATGAACGTGTTTCCCTTTGGAAATTTTCCTTGGCTCTTTGTCTACAATGCACATTATTCTGTTCAACCTGCAGTTGATTTTCATCTTGCAGCTACATCCATGGAGGTTGGCTAAACTCCCAAGGACTTTAAACTTTGTGATATTAAAGTCAGAAGGATTTTAAGCTATTTCAAATTCAAATAAAATCACTTACAATGGATGCTGCTCCTTTAAAGTTTAAAAAGTTTGTTTTCTGCAGAATCGGTTGGTGCCCTGAGCTCTGGCCCTGACTTACTGACTCCTTTCACAAGCAGAGTGCTATGCATTCACCCTTGTGTGCTTGTGCATTTCCACAAACAGCAAATCAAACTACGTCCCCCTCCAGGCTCCCTCTCCTCAAGCTAGCAGATGAACAGTTGCTGGAGTCTCCTGTTTCCTTTTATCAGGAAAGCTAAGCTGAGGGACTTGGAAGCAGTTATTCAGAAACATGATTGTAGGTGTTAAGGCACCAATGTAAAGCAATCCTTTGCTGGGCGATGTAAATTTGTTTGATCTGGATTCGTTATTGAAAAAAAGTTTGAGATTTTAAAAATACTTTTAATATTTGCAACTGTAGCCTCAAGAGCATCAAGCTGGTTGAAGATGGTCTTATAGCCTTTTTGACATGCTGGTCTATCGTTTTTTTTTCTGTTCTCTGACAACTCTCCTTTGCTTTCTCTTGTCCATGTTAGTTTTAGTGAAGACAATTGTACTAAGCAGTGGAATGACTACTTATGGATTATAAAATTGAAGACATTTGTGATACTAATTACAGAAAACCTTTTAGTTTGAAATCACTATGATCCAGTTATTTAGAATCTTTTCTACAGGTACCTACAGATCTGTATAGGTCGTTTTAGAATATCTTTTATAGAAGAAACAATCATTTTTTCTCCTTTTTACGCTTCCTTTTCTTTACTCTAACATTCCAAGGGTGTGCAGGTATAAATTAGACAATTTTGTTTTTATTTCATCACTGTTCAGGAGAAATGAAACACATTGTTTCAATAAGTTGTCAGGGTACCAACAAATATTACACGCGTGTGTGTTCTACCCACATGCTTGGATGTTGTGGAATTATCTCCAGTGACATGACAGCATTTAACTAGCTACTTTTTATGATGGAACACTTTGGTGTACAGTAGAGAGCACCAGAAAAACTAAGCGCATGACAGCAAGCCACCATTACCCTAGCAATCTTTAGCAAGCATTTTGACTTTTTATTGGCCAAGCAATACGCATGAGAAGTGTCAAAAACACAGATAAATCGAATGCAAAGATGTGAACTTATCGTTCAGATTGCTATGTTTGAGAAGTTCTGTGGCAAGAAATGTTTGCGGTGGCTCCTTCTACTCCTGTGTCTTAGGGCATATAATTGAGATGTCTTTGACAATGATTGGACCAATTGCTACAACTGGAAGTACTCCTCATAAAGCATTCCAAATTGTAGAGGTACACTCTTGCCAAAATGTATTTTTAAATCTTGAAATGCATACAGATAATCAAAAGGCATCTTGTTTTTAGACAGCTGCTATTCTATCTGCTTTGAAATACGGTGGCAGATGGTAAAGTGTGCTAAAAATTACGGTGCAGTTATTCCATTGTGAAGCACAGAACATATATGCAAAGGGAAACGGGTAGATAGGGTTGTGTGTGTTTTAACAAAATATGGTACTGTATTGGCATTCTACATAATGGCAATATATATCTGTTCCTCTTTATGTGCCTTTACCATGGTAACCCTAAGAAGGGCGAGTTGACATTTCTAGTGATCTTCTGAGATGTTTAATAATGGTTGTCTACCACAGTATCTAAACATTCTAGCTCTGCCAGCTCTAAACTATATGGACCCCCCGGGCCTTGAGTGGGCTGTAAACATGACACATTTGTAATAGTTCCATTAAATTTCAAGGTCTTGCATCACATAACTTCATATAGAGGGCCTCAAAGCGGCCCCTCGACTCCATCAAATGGCTGTGAATGATATGTATGTAATGTAACGCACTGTACAATAGACTGCTAGAGTTTGCTTTTACAATGCCTGTACCTGCCCCCTTGCAGCCACCTTAAAAATGTACTGGCACCACATTTTGATATACAGTGAGGAAAATGATTTTGATCCCCTTCAGATGTTTTACGTTTGCCCACTTACAAAGAAATGAAAGGTCTATAATTTTATGATGGGTGTATTTTAAATGATAGAGACAGAATATCAACCAGAAATCCAGAAAAAAACACATGAGACAAATGTTATGAATTGAGTTGCAGTTCATTGAGTAAAAATAAGTATTTGATCCCCTACCAACCAACAATAATTCTGGCTCCCTCAGACTAGATATGTTGTACACAGATTAGTCCTGTCAATTTAAGAAGGTGCTCATAACGACAACTCATTATGTATATAAAAGACACCGGTCTACAGAATCTTTCTTCCATTCAAACCACCACCGTGGGCAAGGCATGAGCTTGTGGATGATCTCATAGCAGTTGGGACCACAGTCACCAAACAAAACATTAACACAATACACCGACATGGATTGAGATCCTGCAGCGCCCGCAAGGTCCCCCTCAAGAAGGCACATGTACAGGCCCGTCTGAAGTTTGCCAATGAATATCTAAATGCTTTAGACAAGGATTGGGAGAAAGTGCTGCGGTCAGATGAGACCAAAATTTAGCTCTTTGGCATTAACGCGACTCGCCGTGTTTGGAGGAAGAAAAATGCTGACTATGACATGAAGAACACCATCCCTATAGTAAGCAAAAAGAGGGAACATTATGCTTTCTGGCTGCTTCTCTGTTAAAGGTACAGGCCAACTTTGCTGCATTGAGGGGCCAATGGAAGGGGGGGCCATGTATTGTAAAATCTTGGATGAGAACCTCCTTCCCTCAGCCAGAACACTGAAGATGGGTCGTGGATGGGTCTTCCAGCTTGACAATGACCCAAAACATACAGCCAAGGCAACACAGCAGTGGCTCAAGAAGAAGCACAATAAGGTCATGTAGTGGCCTAGCCAGTCTCCAGACCTTCAACCTATAGAAAATGTATGGAAGGAGCTGAAACTTCGAGTTGCCAAGAAACCTTAAGGATTTAGAGAAGATCTGTAAAGAAGAGTGGACCGAAATCCCTCCTGAGATGTGTTCAAACCTGGTAACAAACTACAAGAAATGTCTTACCTCTGTGCTTGCCAACAAGGATTTCCCACCAAGTACTGTCATGTTTTGCTTGGGGATCAAATACTTATTTTACTCACTGTACTGCAACTCAATTCATAACATTTGTATCATGTGCTTTTTCTGGATTTTTGGTTGATCTGTCCCATTTTTAAAATACACCTATGATAAAATTATAGACCTTTTAATTTGTACGTGGGCAAACTTACAAAATCCGCAGGGGATCAAATCATTATTTGCCACTGTACCTCAGCAAAGTCCAGTATAAAAAGTACAAAATATGTGAGATGGTGTGAAGGAAGTCGAATTGTTAGTATATAAACCAGTTTAGTAAATTATTTTCCTTCACTTCCTGGAAATCAGCACCTAGACAAGAGCAACTGACTGTTGGCTGCTAGGGCACAATAGCTGCATGATGAGTATCAAAATTCTGTGGGTTGGGCACCAGGGTCCCAACTACCGTATTTTTCGCTCCATAAGACGCACTTTTTTTTTCCCCTCCAAAAGGAGGGGGAAAATGTGCCTGCGTCTTATGGAGCGTATACCTGTGTCTGTGTTGCATGATCAAACCTTCAGCGCCCCTTCACACTTCGCACGGGCTTGCAGCCTTATGTGCCTTGCGATCACATTGCGGCCGGAGGGCGTGGCTACGGCGCCATTCACTTTAATGGCCCACCACGGCCCCTCCTGCCCCACTAAAAAGTTAGCCGGTGACTATGCGAGGCAGTGTGTTCCGGCCAGAATCGGGCCGGAACGCACTGCAACAGGTGTTAACGGGCCCTAATACCAGAATTAACAGGTTAACAGATCCAGGAATATATCATGAGATTGGAAATTCTAGAGAAATTCTTACATTACTCTTGAAGTAAACCCACTAGATTTAGTAGTCTAAAACTAAAACAATTCAGATGACTAAAATATGACAAACTAAATGGCATTTGAGTCAGGCTATTTTGCTGTCAAATTAACACTGATATAAATGTTATCTACATCTGAAGGTTTCCGTTGAAAAGTTTTCTCAGATTTTGTGGTTTTTTTGTTTTTGTTTTTTCTATTTTCTTCAGAGTCGGAGATGTCGCTGATAAGTTTCGCCTTGATGATCTCTACAGAAAGAAAGATGATTTGTATGATCGGTTTAGGGATCCCCTCGATAGGTTTCCCGAAGGTGCGTATATTATTTTTTCCTACACTGATAATTGTTTCATTTGGTTTGTATTTCCTCTAATACTTTGCTACATGATATGGAAAAACATTTCCAAGATATCTTGTCTTTCACGCAATGCCTGGGACCCTCCTGTGGTTCTGGATTACTTTTTCTTCTTTATTTCCTAATTAATGTGCTTTATATATTTGTAACGGAATACAACTCTTGCTACATACAATGTGGTAGAGTCAGCCTTGAACTTAGGGGACTTGGCAAATAAAGTAATTGTAAACCCTAACTGACATTTTACTAAAGCACGGTCGTGTTTGTTTTTTTGTTGCACCTCAGTTCTCCTGCCTGCTTCAGCTTCTTTGCAGCCACTTCCTGCCTAGAGGCATGCAACCCGTAATGTTTGCATAGCATCTCTCAGGTTTCCCAAGGGTGGCAATAATGGTCCACGTCAGTTAAAACTGCTGCATTGAAAATTTGTGTGACAGTGAAGGTACACGATTGGGAGACGTGCAGTGTTGTCACCCTATGACAGGAAGTGCCTGAACACGCATCCTCATGGCAGGATCACCAGGTATTTTTAATGAAAGTGAAATGACATGTTTAAAGCTTCAGAGATTTTAGTTATTGGGTTTGCATAAAGTTCAACTCATAAATAATTGTTCCTACGTGAGCAGTGTTTACATATTGTGTACTTCTTACACATTCGTCTATGCTTTATATTTAGATCGATTGAAACGAGAGGAACGGCGCCGTGAAGAGTTGTACAGGCAATATTTCGATGAAATCCAAAGGAGGATTGATGCTGAGCGCCCTGTGGATTGCTCTGTTGTGGTGGTTAACAAACAGTCAAAGTAAGATTGCAGATTTGGTTTGTCATCTTTCTTTTCGGTGAGGCTGGTGTCACACTATGACTAATGTAATCTGCAATTTCAATTTTTGCCTCCAAACTTTCCTCCAGGGAATATGCAGAAACTGTGGGACGTAAGGTGCGTGACCTTGGTATGATGGTGGACCTGATCTTTCTAAACACGGAAGTATCACTGACCCAAGCCTTGGAAGATGTTTCTAGAGGAGGTTCACCTTTTGCTATTGTGATAACCCAGCAGCACCAGACACATCATTCTTGCACTGTCAACCTCCTTCATGGAACACCTCAAGGTATTCTACTTGTGTTTTTTGTTTTCCTTGCAGTTGGTGGAGAATAAAGGTGATATTTTTGTAGTCGTCTCTCAGGACAATAGTTTATAAAAAATGGTATATTGGGCCTAAATGGAATCATGGGGTGACTACGAAGGACAGCCCAGTATCATCAATTTTTAAATTGGGCATTTGTCCACTTGGTGTTTAAATTAGATGTAAACACTGAGGCTGATGTCGCATGGGCAATATGCTCAGTGACTGAGCGAACAAAGAAATTTCTTTGGCTGCAATTCATATTTTGTTAGGAAGGACCACACCGGGTAGTCATTCTGTAGCTGTTACACAATCGTCAATGTTGTTTTTTTAGTTTCTTGAAGTACAGTGTATCAGAAACAGTTGCTGCTTTTTTTTTTTCCAATAAAATATTTCAAAACTTTCATTCTTTGTTGAATCTGAGTGCTGCTGCTCTCCTGCAGCCTTTTTTGCAGCCATCTTATGCCTATATGTATGCATTTGGATGGCGGCAAGGCATTTCTCAGTTTTTTACTGATTGAGACAATGGTGGACCATGCTGCAGTATTGCATGTTGAAACAGCCACTTTATCTTAATCGGAGGCTTGTGTGACAAGGTGATAATACAGTAGCACAAATTCCCAGAAAGTGTTGTCGCCTTACAAGTTATCTGAACAAGGACCTTAATAGCAGGATTACCAGCTATTTTTTTAAATTTTAATTTGTTTAGTAATCGGAGATGCAGATTTCACAATGTTGAAAACAACTTGTGTGTTTAGACTAACATGTTTAAGCCTATGAGGATTTTTGTGATTGTGTTGATACATAATCAACTTTCTAATGCCTGAAGTGTAAAACAAGAAGTCTGGAAATGATTACACCGCACTTTACTATGAATGTCTATCATCCACAAATGTTCAGAGTGCAGCTAGTGAGTTCCTCTAGTTTGTCCAGAGTGAGTGAGGGTTGGATTCTGTATCAAGTTTCTGCTTCTGTGTGTGGGGCCCATTGGGCAAATGTCACGTCTGTTTCAGTCTTTGTGGTGGCGTTTTCACTGGGGTAGATGGTGAAGGAAATAAGCAGGGACACTGTTAGCAATAGCAAACTAATGGAGTGGCCTTTGCTGCCTTCCATTCTAGCGTAGAGAAAGTATTTATAGAGTTTATATCCTGTTGTCACTGCAGCAGGAAGTAAGATGTCATTTTCCCAGTGTAGATCCAGAGAGCAATAAAAACCATATGAATGGCATAACGTTTTTTCTAACTATCCAAAACAGACAAAAATGTGTGGCTATAACTCTAGAGGTCATCAGCTTGGTACTGGATCTGCTTTCACTTTCAAGTAGTATTAAAATCTCAAACTTTTTTTTTCCCAGTAATGAATCCAGGTCAAACAAATTTATTTCACAACAAAGTATTTCTTTACATTTTTGCCCAAACACTTCGTCATTATGTTTCCGAAAAGCTGACCATCTCCCTCCAGCATTCGTCCATCTACTAGCTTAGAAAAGGAAGGAGTGGGGGGCGGGGAAGTGGGTTGCTGTTCCTGTTTGTGGAGACACGCACAAGGGTGGCTCCTTAGAACCCTACAAGGAAAAGGAGCCACCCTAAAACAGGATATGAGGACCAGTGCTCAGGGGACCAGCTGATTCTGCAAGAAACTAAAATGTTGCAGCATCCATTGTAAGTAATTAAATCAGCACTTGAAATAGCTTAATCTTTTTGACTTGAATATTTTAAAGTGAACCTTTGGGTAAACTAAAAGTAACAAACAAACATCAGTAAGAGAACATTGAAAGCACCTATCAGTTGCTGCAGAATCATTGTGGTGCAATCTCCCAGGAGCCTCCCAGCTTACATATACATAAAAACCTTCTCAAAGTTGCTCCCCCCCCCCGATTGTATTGCAATTTTCATCAAAGTTGCTTTTAAAGCGAGGACAAGTGCACCACTTTGCTTGCCAATGTGAGGATACCCAGGCTTTCTAAAATGTCACTTGTCACCAGGTATTGCAATGTTCACGTGCCTAATCTACACTCCAAGCAAGGGAAGAAAAAAATGAGCTCCAGTCAGCTGTCTTCTGCACTGATGCTGCAAAACTGAGTGTGCTTTTTGGATTGCACTGATTTGGTGTTTTACATTTCCAGAAGACCCAAATCTTCATGGGATTGTAGTGATAAATACATGATATGAACTACTAAAATGTAACCTTGGGGACTCATTTCTGATCTTTCACAATATGTTATATTGGTGCGCACCCTTTAAAACTGGGCTTTTGTCCAACCAAACTAAGGGATGTCAGCTGTCAAATCACAAATGAAGACATTGTCAGGATTTGTGGTGTTTGTTTTCCAGATTTGCAGAATAAGACCCAGTATGCCATGCGAGTCCTCCATTTTCTGAATTCTGGAAAGAATTCTGCTTTGTTTGGATATAGAATAGAAAAATTATTTGAAGTTAAAAAGGGGGGGGTGGGGTACGGCACTAAATTTCTACCTAGACCTGAACTAATCAATGAAGAATAGGGGTGTGGGTGGTTATGGTAGTTTTGATGTGTTTTGTTAAATGGTCCTTTTGTGGAATAAATGAGATGTTTTCAGCTCTGTACCTGAAAGTTTTTTTTTATTGTGTGGGTATTTGTCATGCGCATGGAATGTCATTTTGTTACAGAACATCGAAACATGCCACTTGCTGATGCAATGCTTCTTGTGGCACGAAACTACGAACGGTACAAAGTGGACTCTCGAGAGAAGGAACGTGAAGATATTGCACGGCAAGCTGCCAAGCTGTCTGCAGAAGCTATATTAAAAGAGCGTGGTTCTCTGGATGAGGGAGGAAGGGGGGGTCACCCTTCTGGAATAATGACCCTCCTAGGCTTATTGGCAGATAATAGATATGTGACTGCTGAAGAAATAGACAAAGTGGTTCTATATTTACAGCAGCGAAAAGAGAGAATATTGACCATGTCTGGTGACCCCATAACATGTAAGTTTCTTGCATTGTTTAATTTGGCTGTGTTTGTTTTTCCCCCACTGATTAATTTACCATTTACTTATCAACTTACATCATCTTCTTGATTTGCAGCACAACTTTCAAGACAAACGGGAACAGCACCAACTTCTCATGATAACCAATCTACTCATGCTGGCAGTCAGACACTCCAGCTGAGTCAACAATTAGGCTCTACTTCGGCAGCACCTCAGGGCGCAAGCACCTCTCAACAAGAGCTGCAGGCAAAAATTCTCAGTCTGTTCAACAGTGGAGTTTCTACCACTTCTAATACTGTCAGCTCTGCAGTATCTGCTGCCCCAAGCCTGAACTATGGCAGCATGCCTAATACTCAGCAACGGTCATCAACATCAATGGATGCAGGAATTCTTGGTCCAGCCCCACAAAGAAACCAACCAATATCAAGTCAACTTCCAAATACTATGGGTGCAGGAGCTGCAATTAGAAATGCAGCACCTCGACCTGGCCCATCTCAAATGCAAATGCTTTATGGTCAACTTCCGAATCGTGTCCTGGTACCTGGCAGTGTTCCAGGTCAGAGACCAGGAGCATCATCTGGTATAAATTTTGACAACCCCAGTGTGCAAAAGGCTCTAGATACACTCATCCAAAGTGGGCCCTCCCTTTCTCATTTGGTGGGTCAGGCAGCAGGCCAGGCTCTTCGTGGTGGGCTACAGCAACAGCCTATGGCATCCTATCCCCGTCACTTTTAGTGAAGAAGTGCTCCAAGTACATTGGCCATTCTCATAGGCATAATTTAGCGTTACATTTTGTAACATGTAAGAAAGAGTTGTAAGTCTTTCCTTCATTATCGGTTAATCCTTTCACAATATCATGCAATGATTAACTAAATGTTCTTTGAGTAAAATGTTAATTATTGTCCTTACCAGTCAAGGTCCCAAGACAAGCTCCGAAGCATTTCTACTAGAAATTTTGCATTTGTGAATGATAATTCCCTGCTTTGTTATGATGATGATGTTGTTGTTGTTGTTGTTACTTGGAAATGTATTTTGTTGCAGCCTTTTTTTTTTAAAGTAAAAGTTCCTCTTGAAAAAAAAGAAGCTTTCTTGCAATGATTGCTAAAGGCAGGCAGTTCAAGCCTGTATCCATACAATTTTCGTGGGTGTCGAGTTCACTGGTAATCCATTTCTCATCGAAGCATAAAAGGGATGAAGAAACACAAGATGTACCTCATGCATTTTGCTTTTTTTGTACATTTTGCTAGATGCCTTTAAAAGTGTAAAATTGTAAGTAATTTTTACACAATTACTGAACTGTTACTCATGGCCGTGTGTCATTGTGCATAAGCTTTTTCATTTTCCAAAGCTAAATCCATAAGTCTCTGATCTGCAAGTCAAGACGTTGATTAGTAAGTAAATTAGTTTTTTTTTGTTTTTTTTGAGCAGTGTGTACTCCTTCTAGTCCATGTTCACCAACTGTACAGTGCATAGCATAAGGCTTCATCCCCCTTGGACATTGGTAAGGTTACAACATGGTTCACATTGTGTTGTGGTGATGCAAGGTAATGCAGCGTGTATGCGTTGCAGTTCCATTCATTCAGAATGACACCAACGCATTAAGGCAATAAACCTGCCCTAAAGTGCACCACAACCCACAGTATTTCACTATGGTCAGATCTGGTCTGTGTGCTGTGGTGCGTTGGCAGCTTCAAAATTAATGAACATGCATACAGTAATTCGCCACAAAGAATTGAAGGGATTTTAACACCACATTGCATATCATCCTTGACACTTCAAGAACTATGAAGTGCGTGATTTCCACTCATCCTAATATTTGGAGCCAACTTGTGGCAAAGAAGCTGTCACAGGTCGGCTCTATTGATTGGGGAGTGAGCAGAAGCATACTGTCAATCCGCTCACTTCCCGATTGTCTCCCTGCAGTGTGCGGTGACAGTGAGTCCCCGCATGGGTTCTCCCCTCTCCGGTCCTCCAGTGCTGACTGGAGGAAGGGAGGGGGCGGGCACAGCTGTCACTGCCTCTAGATAGGCATAGCCCGCTGTCAATCAGTCAGCTGGGTGGATCCAGACAGTATTGTCAGGATCCGTCCCGCCTGCGGCGCTCTTGGCATATAGCGGGCAATAGCTCACGATATACTGAGCTTTGAGTCACGGGAGTAGGCTAGTATATGTCCTTCTGTGACCCTAAAGAGAACTATGGGGGTAAACACTTACCGCTTACCCATAGTTCTCTTTTAAAGGCTCTAAAAATACTAATTTAGCTTTTATGAATATAAAAAAAAAGGAATCTGTTGGTTACAGAATTATTCACCCGAGTCAATGCTTCATAAAACCACCTTTTAACTTTATTCGGTTTTTTTAGGATAAATGCACACAAGCTTTTCATATCTGCATTCTGCTATATTTGTTCATTATTGCGATCTCAAGGTGACCCTTTTTATTTAAGATGATTTTTTTATGACCCAACCCTAATTGGTATTTCTCCAGTTTATCCCAGAATAGTTCTTAATAGCTCATTGGACTTCAGAGTGTGATTACAGAGTCTCCAACAAAATCTCTTACCTTTTTTTTAGAATTTTTTATATCGGTTAATAGATTCGATTGCAGTGGGGATAATTAAAGGTTTTCACACCAGTGCGGTTAAATACGTATGCAATTTTTTCTGTTTTTAGTCTGAAACTGTTCCTACTGCCACCTTTTTGGGGGGTGGGTGGGTAGATAAGTGATTTGAAATCGCATGTAATCCAATTGAATTCTAAGTTGTGATATTACAAAATGTGGAGAACTCAGAGAGTGACTGACTGCTTTGGTAAGGCATTGTACATCACTTTACAACCAACAGATTTAATCATGGCAGACAAAACATTTTTGGCAATGTAAATATCTGAGCTGTTGTAAAGTTGTTAAAGGTTCTGGCTTCATGGCTGGTTTTCAGGCCTTGCTTCATTAACAAGTGGGTCACTGACTTTAAAACAAGTCTACAGTCTGCAAGGTTATACTTACAAACGTTCTACTTTTACAATCAAATTTGAGAAAATCCCACTATGTTTCTATATGTTCCCATTCACACAGCATACATAAACAACATTTTAGTTCAATCTGAATTTATTAAAGATTTGCAAATGTGGTACAAAAAGGCAGACAGACAATTCCACCTTGACAAAAAAAAAAAAAACACAATACAAATAATAACAGGAGCAAGATAAGGGCCTGCGGGCCCAGGGGCATCGTCAGCAAGACAGGTATCAGACTATAATCAAAGTCATAACATCTAAATCAGCGGTGGCCCCCTTAGCACAGCGCATAGTGAAAATCATGTATGGCGGTATACACCAAGGAATGTTTGTAGCGTCTCCACCCATCACAGCTGAACATGAGGCCAGGTTAGGATGCAGACCGCTTAAGTGAGCATAGCGTGCTTCTCGGGCAGCCTTGCACAGCAAGTGGTCAACCAACATCTTGTGAATAGCATTGGGAAGGGGGAGGGGGGTAAGTGAGAACAGTTCTTAGAGGAAGAAGGAAGGGAGAAGGTAAGCACATGTGGGCAGAGCAAAGAAAGAGTCAGGAAAGGGGATGGTGATCTCCCACCCCCTGCCAGGCAATCAAACGGCTTCTTCAGAGGGAGTATATTGAGGCGAGAGGGCAGCTAGGAATCCAGCAGAGTTCCTGAAAACAATCCAGGCAGACCACGTGTGGACATATTTATCCCCCTCAGCCCGTTCCTCTGCCAGAAGGCTCTCTAGGTCAGCAATGCGGTCCATCTCCACAACCCATTCCGCGAGGGTGGGTACCACCATTGTGCGCCAGTGCCGTGGGATAACAGTCCTGGCTGCTGTAAGAAAGTGTCGCAGAAGACCCTTCGCCCGCTTGAGTGGGCCAGGGATCATGGACAATAGCAGAATTTTGGGGTCGTTTGCAGTTACTGTTCCCGTCACTCTGAGGTATATCCTCAACACCTCCTGCCAGAATCCTTGGAGCATAGGGCAGCTCCACCATATATGGGTCATATTTCCTGGGGAGGTACCGCATCTCCAACAAGAATCCGGTACCGTGGAGTAATACTGATGTAGGACAGAAGGGCATCGGTACCATCTAGTGAGTATTTTAAAGTTCTTCTCGTGGGCCTTACTAGCTACGGAGAGGGAATGTGTAAGGGCAAATGACTTCTCCCAGTCATCAGCCGTACAGGTGAGATCCAGTTCACGTTCCCAAGTCGAGGTGTAGGTAGGCAGAGTAGGGGATGTCAAGTGGTAGAGCAGGGAGTAGATAAGGGAGACTACGTGGGACGGTGGTGTTGAAGCCAGTAGGAGGGAGTCAAACTCTGTCGGCTCCCCATCGAGACCTTCCGGTCCAAGGAGTGGGGAAACAAAGGAGCGAAATTGTCCTTCCGACAACCATTCCCCAGGGCCTGGGTCAGGGCGGGCCACCCCTGCCAGAGGCTGAGCCTGTAATGCTGAGAGCACTCTGCGATGGGAAGCCTTTGTCCATCTGCCGAAGGAAGATCCCGTTAGGGCCGTGGGGAAAGCCGGGTTCCCAAATAAAGGTCATCGGGCCAATGTAGGCCAACATGGAGTGTTTAGAGACATGTCGGTCCCACAGCTTCAAGGCATGGGCTGTCAATAGGGGCAGGGAGGGGTGTACCGGTCTGGATCTAGGGGGCACCCACGGTAGCGCCTGTAGATCACTCCCCGCGAGAGTCTCCTCCAGTCTGACCCATTGTTTCTCCTCACCCTTGTGAAACCAGTCCACTATGCGAGTCAGAACGGCAGAGGCGTGGTAGAGAAAGATATCTGGTGTGCTCGCCCCCCCCTTTGCGTTTCGGAAGGGCCAGCGATCGATAGCTAAGGCGTGGATGCGTAGTGCCCCAGATAAACTTCGTGAAGGCCCGTTGGATCTGTTTCAGGTAGACAGACGGTAAGAAGATAGGTACCCTCTGGAACAGGTAGAGAAATCTGGGGACTATGTCCATTTTGAGTGCGTTGATCCAGCCCAGCCAGGAAATGCGTTTGCGGTCGTATGTAGCTAGGTCGAGGGAGAGTTTGTCAAGCAGGGGGCGAAAATTAGCAGAGAATAAGTCAGCTAGATTGGGAGGGAGGGAGACACCTAGGTATTTCAGTGAGGCCGAGCAGATACGGAAGGTAGTTGTCAGTCAGGAGGCAGAGGTCCGTAGTCCCCAGGGATACATTTAGGATTTCCGATTAGGTAAGGTTGACCCGAAAATTACTCAGCGCTAAAATGTTGGAACGCGCGTAAAATCGTGGGCATGGCGATATGAGGATTAGTCACATAAAGTAGCAGATCGTCTGCGAACAACGCCAGTTTAGAAGTGTGCGGGCCCACCTGAAAGGCTGAATCCTGCCGGAGGGCAACTGCCAGGTGTTCCATGGTGAGGATATATAGAAGAGGGGATAGTGGGCAGCCCTGTCTGGTCCCATTAGAGATCTTAAAGCTAGGGGAGAGCGAGCCATTGACTCGGATCCTAGCCGACGGCCAGGAGTAAAGGGCCATTATGTTCCGCAACATGGCGGGACGTATCCCCAGTTGAAGTGGGGAGTGTTGGAGTAAACACCAGTCTAGGCGATCAAACGCTTTGTCTGCGTCCACCGACAGGAGACAAAGTGGAGTGCCAGATGTTTTAGCATATTGCATTAGCATCAATGTTCGGATGGTGTTGTCTCGCGCCTCCCGGCCTTGAACAAATCCCACCTGGTCCATGTGGATCACCCCTGGGAGAAGTGGTTTGAGCCAATTGGCGATCAACTTGGCGAACAACTTCACGTCCACATTGAGGAGTGAGATCGGCCGATAGTTTGTACATAGGGAATGGTCCTTACCGGGCTTAGGAATCAACGAAATATGTGCCTCTAGCGACTGAGGAGGAAAGGAGTTTCCACGTGCGATTGAGTTAAACACTCGTAGAAGGAAGGGAGTCAGCTTATCCCGGA